TCTCGCTTTGTTTTAAGATCTTCCTTGCTCTGTGTGGATAATAGACAAGAGTGGACACTGGGAGACCCATTAGGAAGACCTTGTAGGTGTCCTCTAGGCCTGAACTAGATGATGAGAGGGGGGCCATGTGGGTGGAGAGTCGTGAACAGACTCAAGAAATAATTAGGAGATAGGATCTACAGGCTGCCTGGTTGCTGGATTGAGTGCAGGCGGATGGGTGGGACCGAGGAAGATTAAGATTAAGTACCTTCATTGGACAATTATTTATACAGTCTTCTCTGGGTGCCAAGTACTGTTCTAGAGAGACTGTCGAGATTCAAATCCTGCCTCTGCCACTTGCTAGCTGTTTATTTTAGGGAAGTCATTTAACCTCTCTCTGCCTTGATTTCTTCATTTATAAAATGTGGATTCTAATAACACCCCAGAGGATTGTTGTCAGGATTAAATGAGTTATAAATGTAAAACCTTGGATCTGGAGGTCTGGGACTGGGCTCTGGGGCTCGGTTCTTGGACTTGGGGCTGAGTGCTTGGGCCTGCTTCTTGGAGTAATCAAGCCTCCATTTCTTTACTGTCCTTATACAAATGAACCTGCCCCTAAATTGACTGTCTTCTCAGTGGCTTCATAGGCACATGATAAGGGTGTGACCCTACCTGTCTGCACTGTTTGCTCCATGGAGACCTCAGAAGGAAAGGAAATAGAAGGCTGCTCTGGGCCTCTTCATGGACCCTTTCTGGGGCCCCTATTTTTTTCTGCCTGAGCCAGGAAGCCCACACTCCCTTATCTTCTGCCCCTCCCCCACAGCCATCTGCTTAAAGGAAGTGGCTCTTTAGTTCTTCACAGGAAGCCACAGGCCTCCTCTGCTTCAGCTCCCTCCAGCTACCGCTGACCCAGGCCCTTTGCTGGCCCAGGCCCCCTTCAAGGCTGAGTCCAGAGATGCCCTGTACCTGGCATCATTCTCTGCTACCCAGTCAAGGAGACTGTTCTTTTCATTTCCTTGTGTGGACTGTTCTTTTCATTTCCTTTCAATCTCTGTGGCCCAGGTCTGGAAGCACAGGCTGTAGACCTGGAGGTGAGTGAGACCTGACTGTAGAGGGTCCTGAATGATGTGCTCGGGAGTTTGGAGATCCCAGCCTTGGAGGACTAAGGGCCTGCAAGGGAGAGGAGAAGCAGGCCCTGCAGGGATCCTCAGGACTGACCATTCCCGTGAGCTTCAGGAGCTCCTTCTGTAAAGCAGGGGCAACGACTGATTCACTTTGGTCTTCGGCATCCATGGTGCCGTCTGCCCCAGGGAGAGCTTTTGGTAATTGGGGAGCGGCTCAAGGATGATGCAGGCAGAGGGAGATTCAGGGTAGGACTGTACTGCCACCTGGTGGCCATAGCCGCACATAGCACCATGGGATGGTAGGAGGTCGGCTCTTACAGGGAGTGAGGGGACTTTCCAGGGTACCGACCGGGCCAGGAAAGCCCTTAACGAATAAAAGAAATCCCTAGGGATTTTATTAAAGAGAAAGACACCTCCAACTTGAGCGCTTGGGAAAGACATTCTAGGTCCAGATGAGAGTCTCACTGCTCCCCTCCTCCATTTCACAGACTATGACACTGAGGCCCAGAGAGAAATGATGAGGACAGAGGACCTCAATGTTGTTTTCCATAAAGTCAGCCACACAGATGGGATCTATTTTTGGACTTGCCTCAGGGTGTGGTCCCAGAGTGAGGATCTGCCCTGCTGGTTTCTAGTCACCCTCATTTGTGACCAAACATGGCATCCTCGACACCATCACCCACCTTAGTCACCAAAGTTGGCACCACAAGGTGGCTTTTGGCAGCTTCTAAAAATAAAACCCACTCTCAGAGGGCCTGGATCAGACAGGACCGAGAGGATTCCGAAGCATGTGCTTCAGACTCAGCAGTTTTAGACCAGGAAGGACCTCAGAGATCATAATATCTGAGTCCCCTTATTTTAAAAGCAAGGAAGCTAAGACTCAGAGAGGGCAAGTAAGCTGCCGGAGGCGCCCCCACCCTGTTGCTGGGCCGGGACTCAGCTTTTTGTCTCTCTGAAGGCCATTGCCAAGGAGGGGTCTAAAAGTGCATTAGCATCTCCTGACTTGCTGCCATTAATGAATTCAGGTTTGTGTTCATCATTCTGCCTCACACGTTGTAGACAGGATGATCGTGGTCCATGATGGCTAACAAGGGCCAGGATGGGTGAAAGGAGACAGGGGCAAGGAGGTGGTGACAGGGAGGGAGAAGGAGTCCATGGATACTTTGGGGGGGGGGGCTCCTAGTTTGTGCACTGTGGGCTCCAAGGAGGTAGGAACTGGGTCTCTTTCACCACAGTGTTCTCAGCAGCTGGCACAGTGCCTGATACAGACTGAGTGCCCAGGAAATGCCCGCAGAATGAAAGCAAGGAGTTATCCTGCACAGACCCATGGGATCTTGTGGTAAGAAGAGTGTCCCCTTAGAGATGGGTAATTTTCAGTGTCACTCAGCCTGAGAAGTGCTGAGGCCTCAAATCTGAAATCCTGGGGGCAGAGCTGTCTCTCTCTGGCCTTGACGCTTTCAAGGCAATAAGATGCCAAGGGAATAATTGCGTGTGTGTGTGTGTGTGTGTATGTGTGTGTGTGTGTGTGTGTGTGTGTGTTTGTGTGTATGCTCCTGGGGGCAGGGCGCCAACACTTGGGAGAAAGGAAGAACAGGGTCTGTGAGTTCCAGAAAGTAAACCCTGACCCCAAAGTCACATGATCTAGTTCCTGGTTGTTATTTGGCTATTTCCTCTCTGCTTTCTGCTCTAATCTTGCAAAGGAGGAAACTGAGTCGCACGACGTGACGGAACTCGTGTTAGGTCTGTAGGACTCCAGAGGGAATTCCTAGCTACTATGCTCCACTGCCTTATGTGAAAACCCCAGCTTCATCTATGCTGGAAAATGCTGAGTAAAAGGTTAGGGGCCTGTGTTTACTCAGACCACAGTGTTAAAAGGGGGTCAGGCCCCTCATCCCCAGGCCTCCATGGGAGTGACAGTGAGTATTATCAAGGGTCCCCAAGGGAAAGAACAAGAGGTCCAGTCATCCTCCCCATGAGATCTGGTGAGGGTGATGGGACAGACAGGCAGATGGAAGGACTGACCTCAGGTTCAATCCTACCCACATCTATTAGCACCTATACGAGGCCTGTCCCAGGCACTGGGGAGAAGAGACAAATTAGAGACAGCACTCTCCCCGAAAGTGTTGAGGGACACACATTCATGTCTCTGGGATATCAACCTTATAGACAAACTGGGGTGCAGGCTTCAGTAGAGTGTGATGCTTGAGACCCCGCCTTCCTCTGTAGGCAGAAGTCCGCTGTCTACCCGTCTGTGGACGGCCCCAGCCGAGGCGGGACTCTGCAGAGGTCCTATGGTAAGTATCAGGGGACCCAGCCCAGCTTTCGCTCTGGGACACAAACCACGGAGAGTGTGTGTGGAGCAGCTGGTGCCTCTACTACCTGTGTGCCTTTTCCACGAGCAGTGCTTCTCGGGGCCTGGGGCAAGCCAGCTGGGGCAGACAATTGCCATCTGCCCAGATGGCGTTAGATCTGGGGGCAGGAGCAGACAGGAGGGGACCTCTTCCCCGCCCACCCACACACATTGCTAATTGAAGACGAGTTTCTGGGTTATAAGTGGGGCGAGCTGGGGGAGGCCTGAGGACAGCTTACATGGCCCTTTTGTGACAAGATGTCGTGGTTCGCACGTGACAGCTTCCCAGGGATGCGGACCTCCCAGGGAGGCCAGTCTGGCATGGCAGCTGGTGTGCCCACTCATAAACCAGAACCAGGGCTGGGACCCTTCTGTCCTCACTGCCACTTCATTTCGAGGGCCTCTTTGGCCTCCCCCTACCCGGGTCCAGGCACCCAGGTTCCCCTGGACAGGACTCTCTAACTTCAGATCTCCCCCCTAGGTCTGGTCTGGCCTTCCTTTCCCACCCGGAGGGTGTAAAGCCTCCGTATGCCAACTGTCCACTTTATCCCACTTTATCTTGGAGGGAAGGAGACCTTGCCGAGGTCCCTCGAAAAGCTGCTGTCACACACTTCCCCAAGGCAAAGGTCTGGCCTATATTCTCCACCTAGCACTTCTTCAGAGAATGGAGATCCAGCTTCTCCGTCTCTGCCTCGTCAGAAAAGTAGCTGGAAGCTTCTCCCACTGAGAACAGACTGAGCTCTGCCTCCCCAGGCACCCTGTGAAATTGAGCCTGAGTGTTCACGCTGTGGCAGGAGGCTCTGCTGGGAAGGAATCCCAGAGGAGGGGATGTCTGAGCTGGGTTACGAGCTTCAGAAGGACATTCTAGGCAGAGAGAACAGCATGTGCTGAGGCCCAGAGACAAAGCCACCTGGTGGTGTTCCGGGAGCTGCGGTTGGCTTGAGGGGAGAAAGGGGTTTGGAGGTGTGTGGATGAGGCAAATTGGAGCCAGATCTTGTTGGGAGACTCACAGAACGACAGAGTGTTTTCTGACAGGATTTTATTCTGCTTTTTCCACTTAGGTCATTGATGAGCGTGACAGAAAGCTCTCGACTACAATTGGAAGGAAGGGTTTCCTGGGAGCCTCCGCCTACTCCTCCTCCTCCACTTCCTCCTCCTTCTCCCGGCTGTTTTCAAGGTGTCTGTGGATAGTGTAGCCCAGAAAGGCACCAATCTTGCCCATGAGGGCACTGCCACCACTAGCCCCTGTAAAGCAAATATAGTCAGGTCACTTGGGGCCCAGGCACGAGGCCTGGGAATCCAAAGGTCTGGAAACCATTACAGAGGCCCCGAGAGGGGACAGGAGTTCTGCAAAGTGAATCCTATTTCCCCCTTGACTTGCCGTCTCAAATCAGAGACGTGTTCCATAGAAGAAAAATACACAGGGGTGCCTGGGTGGCTCAGTCGGTTAAGCATCCACTCCTGGCTCAGGCCACGATCTCACGGTTCGTGAGTTCGAGCCCTCATTGGGCTCTCTGCTGTCAGTGCAGAGCCGGCTTCAGATCCTCTGCCTCCCTCTCTCTCCGCCCCTCCCCTGCTCATGCTGTATCCCAAAAATAAATAAAAACGTTTAAAAACTAAAAATTAAAAAAAAAGAAAGAAAAATACGCAGGTAACAGCTCATCTTTTCACGTCTGTGGTGAACACACAGTGTTATTAATAATGCTAATAACAGCCGCCTTTGTGGAGACCTCCCTGTGGGGGCTGGGGGTTCACAAGTAAGAGATTTCATCGTGGTCACAACCCTGTGATGTGCATGAGTGCGAGAGTCTTACTGCACCTGACTGTTCCTAGCCTTGCCCCCACCCTACCTCCCACTGTTGGGGTGTGGCTTCCCTTCTGCCCCCTCTGAGAAGGGCTCTATTCTTCTGGGCTGGTTCTCTGAGCTTTTGTCATCCAGAATTGAGAGCATATGGAAGGTTCAGGAAGGCAGAGGGGAGTCTGTCAGGGGCAACTTTTCTCCAAGAGTTTGAGGCCTCGGAGAGAGAGAGAGAGAGAGAGAGAGAGAGAGAGAGAGAGAGATGGAAGGAAGCAATGAAAAAGAAAGGAGTGGAGGAGAGAAAGAGAGAAGTAAATGCACATGTTTTTTAATTAAAAAAATTTTTTGATGATCTCTATACCCAACGTGGGCCTCAAACTCCCGACCCGAGATCAAGAGTCTCATGATCCCTTGACTGAGCCAGCCAGGCACCCCAATGCACATTCTTTTAGAAGGGTCATTCTGAACTGTAGCTTTTCCTTTCATGGTGTTCAGGAAATACAATTCAAGACCAGGGTTGGTATGAGATTGAATTGAGTGGGTCACTCCACCTTTCTTTCCTCTTTTCTTTTTTTTTTTTTTTTAATGTTTATTTATTTTTAAAAGAGAGAGATTGAGCATGAGCAGGAGAGGAGCAGAGAGAGAGGGAGACACAGAACCTGAAGCAGGCTCCAGGCTCCGAGCTGTCAGGACAGAGCCCCACAGGGGCGGCTGGAACCAACTAATGGTCAGATGGTGACCTGAGCCAAAGCCCCACACTTAACCGACGTAACCACCCAGGCACCCCTAAGATTTATTTTATTTTTAGGTAATCTCTACACCCAGTGTGGGGCTGGAACTCACAACCCTGGATCAAGAGATGCATATCCACCGACTGCGCCCGGCCAGGCAGCCCCTCTCTGCCACCTCTCTTTGCCACTCTGGCTCTCTGAGTTTGAGCAGATTCGTAAAACGTTACACTGAGGATGGTCATCCCTGTTAACAGATGAGGAAACTGAGGCTTGTTGTGATCTGGCCAAAGCATCAGTGAGGCACCCCGCTTTGGTGGCGAAGAGCGAGGAGTCCGATAGGTTCGAATCCTGGCTTTGGTGCCAACTGACGGGGAGCATTTGAGTAAATTACGTAATCCCTCGTTGCCTCGGTTTCCCCACTGCATAACGGAGATGGTAAGGACACCCGGCTCATAGAGTCACCTGGCCCTGGCATCCCCGCCCGCGGGCCCGGTCGCCCACTCACCGAGGCTCTGCAGCACGGCCACCAGCCCCCCGGCGGGCACACCGCCCCCGTTCGCCACCGCGGAGCAGCTCATCAACCAGGCGGCCACAGAGTTGGCGGCGATGCCCGTGCTCGTGAAGCCCAGAACGGGCAGCCCCGCGGCCAGGAGCCCTGGAGGAAGGCGAGGCGGTGAGGGAGCGCCCGCAGCAGGGGCCCCCACCTTCCGGAGCTTTCCGCCCTCTGGACCCACCTCCTCCGACAGCCATGTAGGTCAGGGCGCCCCAGACCCCGGAGCCGCCGTCCTCCGAGCGCTCTTCTTTTGTCTGTCTTCTTTTGCCTATCGGGAGGGGACAGAGTGGAACGCGGAGCAGGGTTCCCTGTACTGTGCCTGGTGCTCAACACCACCCCATCCTTCCATTTCGGGGAGCCTCGCGGAAGGGAAGAGACTTCATCCAAGGCGCGGTGCCTGGCACATAAGTGGCACTGAGCACACTTGGGTGGAATGGAGGAATTGATACGTAAGGAGTCGAACCTGGGACTCTGACTACAGTGACCTGGAGCTGTCCACTGTCATAGCCCTTCTCGTCCCGGAGCCAGGGTTCCTGAAAGTCTACGCCGGGCTTCCGAAACTCTCGGTGTGTTTATCTCACAGCCCTCCCTTGCGCCAGGATGCTTACCTGCCTCCACCCCGCCGCAGGCGAAGAGTAGCAGGTGGCACAAGAAGAGCGATACCGCCTTCCGCCGCATGGTGGCGCCGCGCGCAGGCTTTGTCACTGGCCCAGAGAAGGGGGTGGGGAGATGAGTCTCCAGAGTCCTTTTGGACCCGCGTGGTTGTTTTCCCTTTCTATTCGTGGAGGAGTCCATAAAAAGCAGCAAGGTGCTCTGGACTGAGCCCAGGACCCCCTTGAGGAGCCGCGGGCTTTCGGTTTCCTCGTGCCAACAACAGTCACGCAGCAAATAGTTGCCGCCTAGACAAGCACTCAAGACTGTCGAGTTCAAACCTCATGCTCTTTCCATCGTAGCACGGAATAGGAAAAGGCGTATGCCCCCAAACTCACCTCCAATGTGATCTTTGTCCGTTCAGTGCCTTTTCCTTGAATTAAAAACAACCTCCCATATATTGAGGACTTCCCACTTTATGGCCCGAGGTCAATTATACCCGTAAGAATCCCTTGAAATACATGCCATTGTTCTCAACCATGTGTTATAGATAAGGAAGTTGAAACCGGGTGAAGTCAAGTAACATTCCTAAGTCTGACCAGCTAGGAAGTGGCAGTCAGGATTCAAACCCACACTTGACTAATGTCCAAACCCACACTTTTTAAAAATGTTTATTTTTGAGAAAAAGGGGAGGGAAGGGGCAGACAGAGGGAGACAGGATGGCAAGCAGGCCTCTGCGTTGACAGCCGAGAGCCTAATGCGGGGCTCGAACTCACTAACCTGAGCCGAAGTCTGAGTTTAACCGACTGAGCCACCCAAGTGCCCCCCCCAAACCCACGCTTTTAACAACCACGCCAGATACCTTCATCTGCCCTCAAAGATAAACTCACTGTCACATTAGATCCTGCGCTAAAGGGCTTTCAGACACAGTCCAGTCCTTTGGGCAGGCAAGGTAGCTTGATCTCCATTTTACAGATGACAAGCTAAAGCCCAAAGAAGTGAAGTGCCAGGGTTAAGGTCATAGACTGCTGCCTTGGTGCCTATAACCTGAGTCTGGGGTTTGGCACCCCAACCCACCTCCTCAGACCAGTCTTAGCCCAGGGCACTACAAGGGACCCAGGGGTATAGCCTCCCTGAAGAATGGGTATCGTGGCTCTCGGGGCATAAGGCTCACAGGCAGAAAGCCTGGCAGAGGTTTGGCAGCTGACATCCATACTTCCTGGCTTTCGGGTTTACCTTGGAGGAGGGGAGAGGAGGAATCTTCCTTCCCGGAGCCTGATGGTAGATGGGAACAGCAGTGAGGTTATAGCTCTGGGGCTGAAGGCTGGCTTTTTATAATCACATTTGGACTGCCTCCTCTCCTCCCCAGGCAACCAACCAATCCTTGTCAGACTTTCCATTTCCTGCACTCATTCTGTAGTTTCTTTTCTCTTTTCCTCCAGCTCTGCTCAGTGACAGAATCTCTACCGTATCCATTAACAGAAACATGTAATTCAAGCCAGGGATTTTCTGAATAGCTGAGAGTATTCAAAGCAGATCATGCTAGAGCGGAATCCATGGTCCTGCTGGGCTTAGTGAAGCCGGAACACCAGCTCCTCTTGGGGCGCAGAAGCCTTTCACAATTCAATTCAATTCAATTCATAATTATGCCTACCATTTACTGGGAACTTTCTGCATGCCAGGGCCTGTGTAAAATGCTCTATATACGTGATCTTTTTCCTATGCCACAACAGTCCTGTGAAGTATCTATTGTTTATAATCCTCATTCTGCAGAGGAAGAGATTAAAGCTTGTGGAAATGAAATCACTCCATTCCGTGTATTCTTTGAACCTTTGGTTAGTAATGCCTGTAGAAGCACTATGGGTAAGAAATGCAACCTATGGTTAGAGTACATAACAATTCTAAAAAATTTTTTAACGTTTTATTTATTTTTGAGAGACAGAGACAGAGCATGAGCTGGGAAGGGGACAGAGAGAGAGGGGGAGTCACAGATTCCAAAGCAGGCTCCAGGCACCGAACCATCAGCACAGAGCCCAACGTAGGGCTCGAACCCAGGAACCATGAGATCATGACCTAAGCCGAAGTCAGCCACCCAACCGACTGAGCCACCCAGGCGCTCCAAGTACATAACAGTTCTAGTAAGGATGAATCATCGCCTTCTCCAAAGTGGAACGGGTCGGGGTGCTGATATAACTGACCTGCCACCAGATGGCTAGCTGCTCTCCCTGACTTTTGTTGCTACACTGCTCCCTACCGTTGGCTATTTGTTGGTAGTTGCTAGATTAGCTTCGCTGAGAGGGAGCCCAAGTTGGAGGGTCCAATCATAACCTCCATCTTTGCCACCATGGCCATTCTTTTACGAGTCTTTTGCAAAGCAATAGAGTTGCTAAATTTAGAGGCTGGCTGACATCCACAATACGGGACATATGACCATCTGGCTGGACAGCCTCCTTTGCAGTAGATGGTCTCTGGTGAGCATTAATATGAGACACAAAGATCTGCATGTCTCGTGCCTGCTCCTATGAGTCCATCTGTATGCCCCTTACCCAGACCTGTTTTCCTTCGAAATTCTAATCTTGCTTTTTCCATGCCCTTGACCAACTAGCTAAGCCATTTGCCACTTGTTAGGAATTAGTGTCTGTCTGCACCTCAGTCCACCTCTTCCTCCATACAAAAGGGGGACTACAGAGTATGCTGCTCATAGTTTGGCCCCTGAGAGGATTTACCACCGTCCAAGGCTACCCCAAATGGGGCTGTAACAGAGTAGTCCATTTCCAGCTGGTGCTAAAATATCATACTGACCTATCTGTGAAATGGCTTTGACTTCTTTCCTCTTTTTAAAAAAATTTTTTTTAAATGTTTTATTTACTTTTAAGACAGAGAGAGACAGAACACGAGTGGGACTGGGGCAGAGAGAGAGGGAGACACAGAGTCTGAAGCAGGCTCCAGGCTCTGAGCTGTGAGCACAGAGCCCGACGCGGGGCTGGAACTCAGGAACTATGAGATCATGACCTGAGCTGAAGTTGGATGCTTAACCAATTGAGCCACCCAGGCGCCCCTTTCCTCTTTTTTTTTTATTAAAAAAATCTTTTTAAGGTTTATTCATTTATCTAGAGAGAGAGAGCAAGAGAGAGCATAAACGGGGGAGGGGCAGAGAGAGAGAGAGAGAGAGGGAGAGAGAGAGAATCCCAAGCAGGCTCTGAGCTGCACAGAACCCTATGTGGGGCTTGAACTCACATATCGTGAGATCATGACCTGAGCTGAAACCAGGAGTCAGGCGCTCAACCAACTGAGCCACCCAGGCGCCCGACTTCTTTCCTCTTTTATAAATTGGTTGCAGGGAACCCTTCATGAGACCATAGGTATGGGTTAAAAGAGAGGTGTCAGATCAACAGAGTTAGATGCCATGGGAGTCTGAGCTGTCTATTCATTTGATTTACTTGTGTCTTCTGAACCCTATGAGCCCAGCCCTGAATTTACCACCTTCATCATATTGGATTGCTGCTCTGCCTGTCTGATAACATCTAGCTGAAGACATACAGCTACCTGGCATCCAGAGATCACATTGGGGCCCAGTGACACATCAGGACCTTTTTGTTCATTATGTTAACTAACTTGGATGTAAATTACAAAAAAAAAAAAGTAAATAATAGAAAAAAGTGGGGGAGGGGCGCCTGGGTGGCTTAGTCGGTTAAGGGTCCAACTTCGGCTCAGGTCATGATCTCATGGTTCGGTTTGTGAATTTGAGCCCTGTGTCAGGCTCTGTTCTGACAGCTCAGAGCCTGGAACCTGCTTTGGATTCTGTGTCTCCCTCTCTCTCTGCCCCTCACCCATCATGGTCTGTCTCTTTATCTCTCTCAAAAATAAATATGAAAAAAAATGGGGGAAAAATGGACCTTTTTGTTCAAATGGACCATGGTGAGTAGTATGTTCTTACTCCAGAATCTCAGGAGTCCTCGCTGCAGCTCTCCTTTTTGAACTCCCATAAACTCCCTATGGAGACATTTTCTACCACAGGTGCCTCCAGCCACATTGTATCTGCAGGATCGTGTAATCCACTGGATGTAAGCTAACCTCCATCTATCACCTGGCCTCTCTTCATTCCTACTCTAGCCAGAAAGCTATGTTGGTGCTTTGTGTCTGCTAGTTTCTGTGTCAGCGCAGACTCCGTGTCTTTAACGATCTTTGAAAATTCTGAACATTTTTCTTTTCCTAACGCACAATCATCCCGGCAAGTGGAAGCAGATCCCTTTGAGGAAGGATTGGAGGAACATTTACTATATGTAACTATGGTATGACTCACTTCAGAGTTGTTCCTTAATGGGGCAAGGCCTCTCCTATAGTCAAGGGGTTCTGATTCTGTGAACTTAGATCTAGGATCTGGATGAGAGACTGTGATTTTCCATTGTGGAATTAATGTCAGTCTTCTGCTTATCAGGTCTTGATTGCTCTCGATTTTTTTTTACCATTCCTTTTTTTTTTTTTT